GCGGTTAGGCGTAGATATTGTGTGGATGTTGATATAGGGAATGTGGTTATTACCGCGGAAAGTCAGATCGGTGACCGGTGTCATAATTCCGGCCAATGCCTTGGTGTTGATTTCCGTACGTACGCATCTTGTCTCTGGGTGAAATAACAGGGTTATCTATAACCTATAGCCTTGACTGTCAACCAGTGGAGTACTTCAAATTCCAGCAGAGGCCTTAACGTTTACTTTCGCTAAACACCCTTGGGAAATTTATGAAACATTTAAATTAAATTGGAAGGCAGACTGGGTTATCTGTAGACTTGGTTTGCCAACCAGCATAGGAGATGAAATTTCGCCGAGGTCTTTAGGCTTAATTACGTTCAAATACCCCTGGGAACGTTATGACCCCATTTATTCTTTGGATTATTCTCTGTTAATTCTTACGACGATGTTGGAATCATGTGTATCGGTACTTACTTCGTCATTGGATCCTTTCAGTGACCTAGAAGAGGAAGTTATCTGGCACATGGGTAACTTTCTGTTACTCATACGCTATGTGCTGGAGAGACTTGTAGAATCCCAAGCCATTGAGTCAGACTAAATCTATACTACCCTTATCCAGAGAATGATATCGTCAATCTCAGTTAATCGCAGTAGAAACAGAATTATCAAATAATTAAGACGAAATAATCCTAGACATGGATAGTGGAATAAGAACAATCGACCCCTGTTGTTTGAATAAATTGTTAAATTTGAATAAACCTGAAGATTACCTGAATTGAATGATACCTGAAGAAGAGAGTAGGGCAAAATAGTCGAAGCGTTGAGTTCATAACAAAAAAGATGAGGATATTATTTCGACAGTAAATAATGTATATAATCAAGATTTCTCATCTTGGAAATTCAAACAAAGCACACCCGGAGATCAGTTGCGATGAAAGTATGTACTCTCAATGACGATCCTTGCCCAGATCGTTTATTGAGACTCACCCTCAAGCGGGGTGGGGGCTTCATATACGTTGTTAAAGACGCTGGAGAAGTGGTTAGTTCCATTTAAAGCCACGCTCTATCTTTACATGAACCAGATCAGAAAAGATGGCGTATTGCTGACATGTCTTGCCTGGAACGGCATAATCCTCACCCTCCAGCCTTAACAGCGTTCAAAAGTGTTTGCGCGTCCTTGTGGGTGAGTGTTTTCCACACTACCAACCATTTCCCGCAGACGAAAAGTCTACTTGCCTCCCGCTGCTTTATAGCGATTTTCATGCAGATGTTCGGACGAATTACATTCCATGGCTCCACAAGTACAGACCACCATAACTAGGATCCCCAGAAGTCTTGTACACTTGGTCAATTAATTCCATTTATATTCGATAAGTGAGGAGTAATTAATTTCCCCTAAGACAGATTTTTCTCCAGAATTATTGCATTGTGGAATGGGTTCCGGAGAGAATGCTTCCTCGATCACTACAATCTTGATCTCTCCAAATCGTGAGTTAACACTTTTCTGTCCTATATACCCTTATAATATGCACCTCTTACTACATCTCTGTATGTTTTACAACCTCATTTAATAAAACTCTGACTTGACTGGCTTTTGGGCCTTTTATTTGGTTGAGAACTATAACAAAATAATTTATTGAAGACGTTGTTACATAATTCAGAATCTCTAGTTTTGAATTCAAGATATAAAGCCATTGTAATTCTTCATAAAAACCAAAACTAAATAAAAAAAAAAGAAAAGAAAAATATTTTTCTTTCTTTTTTAATCGGTATCACCCCATGCAAGGTAATAAAGCCACTAAGGCACAAGGAGTTACAGGTTGTAAAAGAATTAGAAACAGAAACATTAATAATGAGCGGGAAGAGGAATGAGGGATCAGGAGGAGAGTAGATAGCGATTGACATTGCATTTAAACTTTGCAGATTTTTGGCTGGAAATCATGGAGCCGGAAGGGAGGTCCCCAAGCGAGAAAAGAAACTGTTAGCATAGAATTTACAGTTACATCTAGTCAGCTCAACCTAGGTCGTGTCCTCCTCGATAGATGAGGCAAACCTCTTCTCTTCTTTGTCACTAAATAACGGTGAGGCTCGTCCCTTCAAAATAACGGTGAGGCTTGTGCCGTGGCACTAGACATCTCCAAAGTTTTTGATAGGTTTTAGCATGCCGGCCTTCTTTGTAAGCTCCAGTGTTATGGTATTACTGGTCGACTGTTTTATCTAATACAATCATTCCTGTCAAACCGAGAACTGAAGGTCGTTCTCAACGGATTCTCTTCCAGTTCCTATCCCACAAACGCAGGTGTTCCCCAAGGCTCCATCCTTGGCCCCACTCTATTCCTTATTTTCATCAACGACTTTCCTGACACCATAGATTCCCAAGTTGGCATCTACGCGGACGACACTACAATTTACTCCTGCCTCAAAAACAAATCTAGTGGCGGCGACAAAACTAACTTGGCCGTGCGTCTTGAAATGGACCTCCAATCGGTTGTTAACTGGGGCAAGAATTGGCTGGTCAACTTTAACGCCTCAAAAACTAAACTACTCTCCATTAACCACCAGAGAGATCCTTCCCTGCCCCCCATTAGAATGTCTGATAGTCAACTTCTTGAGAGCAACTCCCTGCGTCTGCTCGGTCTCACGTTGACTGTTGACTTGAGATGGAACAAATACATTGAGTCAATTGCTTCTTCCACCGCGAGGAATGTTGGTTCTCTGTGCCGCGCCAGGAAATTTTTCTCCCCGGAATCGATACTTTAAATATACAAAACAACCATTCGCCCTTGCATGGACTATTGCTGCCATATATGGTCTGGGGCACCTTCTGTTTACCTCGGAGTTCTTGACAAGAACCAGAGACGGATATGTAATGTAATTGGCCCTGATCTGGCGTCTCGTCTACAGTCACTCTCACACAGACGCGCCGTCGCCTCCCTCTGTCTTTTCTACAAATACTTTCATGATAATTGCTTTCACTGGTTCCCAGACTCCATGAATTCAAGCGCTTTACGAGGCTGGCATCACGCTCCCACCCTTACACTGTAGAAACTTTTAAATGTAGCCGTCTCTTCTACTCCAATAGCTTCATACCTCGCACCTCTCGCCTGTGGAACACCCTTCCCAATTACTGTTTCCCTGAGAGCTATAATCTCCAACTATTCAAATGCAATGTCAATCGACATCTCCAGTTACCTTGATCTACCCACTATCCTTCTCCTCATCCTTTCTTCTATCACTCCTATCTGCTCTCGCTCCAAATCTTCTGCAACCCCCTGCATCCTAGTGGCTTCACGCCTTGCTCGGGGCGTAATGCTTAAAAAAAAAACAAACAAAAAAAACTCAACATTAGATGACAAAGATCATCCACCCCCAAGTTACCAAATATCACTGAGCTCAATTTCAGTAATATTACCCCAACAGCATGAGAAGTTTCTAGACTTATCAAAGGCCTCGACCCTAAGAAAGCCACTGTCGCAGACAAAATTCCAGTAATTGAGATTATGAATATCAACCCGGAATTATCTCCAAACCTAGCAAATTATTCAATTGCTGCTTGAAGGAGGAACCCTTTCCCAAGCCTGTGGAAAGTGTCTAGCGTATACCTGGTTTTCAAGAATGCAGGCATGCTATTTCTCCACTCCCAGTTCAGGCATATCAGTCTCCTCAGTATCATCAGCTTTTTTTCAATAAGAAGAACCTAGAAAAAAAACCTCTTCAGCGACGAGTAGTATAGGTTTTGGTCGGCCTGATCCACTGCCGATGTCTTAACTGCCATCACTCCCAGAATCAGCGTAGCTCTTGACGAAAAAGACGCCTCGAGGATGGTCCTCGTGGTGTGTTTATCGTTTGCCCTAGATATTTCTAAGGCCTTCGACAAGATGTGGCATAAATGTTTACTACACAAGCTCTCCAGTTATGGAATCACTGGAAGGGTCTTCTCGGTCATAAAATCCGTCCTAACAGGTAGCTTCCTGAAGGTAGTTAGTAATGGTCATTCCTCCAGTACCTTAGCAGTCAGCGCAGACGTCCCACAGGGTTCACTCTTAGGACCAACTCTCTTTTTTATCTATATAAATGGTCTGCCTAAGAATATACTCAGTATATACTCTTGTAAACATCTATGCCGACGATAACATTATATAAGGGCGTACCTCTAAAATTCTCGAGGGTTAGTGATTGGCGACTGATCTCTCTTCCGATCTTACACAAACTACCCAATGGGTTAAAAAGTGGCTGGTTACATTCAATGCCTGGAAGACCAAGTTACTTATGTTCCATCATCGCCGATCTGACCCCGAACTACTACCAATCAAGATGATCGGGAGTCTTCTCGGTGAAGAACCGGGCCTTGAATGTCTGTTGGGCCTCAAACTCTCACACGACCTCAAGTGGAACTCGTACATAAGATCCGTTGTTAAGGATGCAGGTAAAATGGTTGGCTCTCTGTACCGCTCCAGTAAGTACCTGACTCCTCTTGCTACCCTCTACCTTCACAAGAGCCAAATCAGGCCAAAAATGGAGTACTGTTGTCATATCTGAGCATATCTTCCAGTACCTCGCTCTTTAACCTTGATAGAGTTCAAAAGCGTCTTCGTGCCCTTGTGGGTGATGAATTATTTCCCATCCTTCAATTCCTCTCCCACCGGTGGGTTGAGGCAAGCCTCTCGCTGCTCTACCACTACTTCCATGGAAATTGCTCGGACGAACTACATTCCCTGGTCCCGCCGAGGAAAACCTTTACAGCAGGGACACACCATGTCATTTACATAGTTGAAAAGTAAGTTCCACTCGAGCAGCTTCTTCCTGCGAACCCCTTGTTACGGTTTTTTGGGTATATACACTACATATAACTAGTGAGCGAGTCAGAATGACTTATTTCCCTTTATAGTCGACCAATGGAAGGTTGACCAATCAGAAGCCGCCCAACACTGTATTCGTCGTGTATAAAGGCGGCCATTTTGTTTCCTCTACCGGAAGGACCAAAGTCGACCAGGAGAAGGATGAACTACACTCTGCTG